CTCGTGGCCTGTCCGAGTTCCCGCTGCTTTTGTCCTCTGCCCCTGGAGGTGTAACCGCGCTGCGGGAGCGGCACACGTGGTGCTCTGCCGCCAGAAATCGTGTTACAATGTCTCTCTAGCTGTATCGTTTAAGTTCTGTGAGTTTTTCCGTGCTTTGGAAAGATCCCGCCATATTTCTTGAGTTTTTCATTTGGGTCTGATTACGCCCTGTGGCGTGTGTAGGTTTCCATGTTGCTTTTGCTGAGTTTCTGGGGAATGTTCAGTTTATCCTGGATTGTCAATGCATATATTGTGCTGCTTTCCCATCCTTCAGTCCAGGATTTCTATTTTTTGGTATTTTTGTAAAGTAATATCGTAGTTTCATTGTTGGGTCATTTTCATTTTGGAAGTGGTTCTGTCACTGAAATGTACAAATCAGACCTGGTTATGTGGGAGATGTACTGCAGCACAACAGCACTGAAATCAAGGGAGCTTAAAAAGACTTGTAACTTCTGCTTGGATTTTGTAGAACTTCGACAAGTTAAATGTGAGGACAGCACACTACACACCTCTTCCTTCCGGTGCTAATCCCCTGAAGAGAGAGATTTCTGACTATGTTAGGTGAGTGCAATACAGGCCAGAGTGGTTTATTTTTCTTGCACAGTTAATACCTTCAAAATATTTTCAGTCTGGATTCCCCTTGTACCTTTCTTCTTCACCGCAGGATCAGTAAACATTTAAATAGGACCCACTGATCTCTCCCTGTAAAGTTTTCTTTGTTCTGGGGTTGTAGCTGGTCTGATAAACATGCAAACCACCTAAGGAATTCTCTGGGGTCTTCAGAAAAGTCCCTTGGCCTGCTGGGCTTTGAAACTGCTTGGAGTTTGTAGAATTTGAGGTTTTTTATAAGTTCAGGGGAGAATTCTTTGCCCATGGATTATATCACCTGTTGTGCATGGATGGAGCAGGTCACTGTGAGCTTACTGAGAGCTCATTGCTTATCTGGCTGTATAAAAATACATTTCTTTGCAGCCAGGACAGTATTTCAAAGTTCCTGCATTGTTGCCATATATGCCCTGATGCTTGTCTCCCATTCCCTGCCCTTTTGCACCCCAGGTCTGGCTTTATTAACCTGGACAAGCCCTCCAACCCATCCTCTCATGAGGTGGTGGCGTGGATCCGGCGCATCCTGCGCGTGGAGAAGACGGGGCACAGTGGCACCCTGGACCCCAAGGTGACAGGGTGCCTCATCGTGTGCATCGAGAGGGCCACAAGGCTGGTCAAATCCCAGCAGAGTGCAGGTTTGTTCATGCTCAGGGCTATTTGCAGTGGCTGGGGATCTGTGAAGTGCTTTTGGAGACAAAATGGAGGTTTCTCAAACTTCAGAAGGCCAGTCTTAGTCTTTAGTGCCTTGACATTAAGGGTTATTTCAAACCACATGTTGTCTCAGGTGGTTTTTTCATTGCTTCTCTGGTGCTTGGGCTGATACAAGTCAGTGAAAACACCTCTGACATGGTTTGATGTACCAGTTAAACTTAGGGCTTCAGCCTCTTCTAGTCCAGAGAAGAAATAAATACACTTTAGATTTATTTCCCTGCAAGAAAAACCAACTCATAATAAACCATGCCCATTTCCTAGAAGAGATGGTAGGATTTCAGGGTTCTGGGGACGTGTGGCTGTTGAGCAGGGTGGACCTTGAGGTCAACATCAAATGCCAGTGGCCGTTCCTGACTGCTCTTGTCATTCTTTCAGGCAAAGAGTATGTGGGAATTGTTCGGCTGCACAATGCCATTGAGAGTGAGGCTCAGCTGGCCAGGGTAAGTCTCACTGCTCTCAGCCATGCTGGGCACTGGTGGGAGATGAGAGGCCAGGAGTGGAGCTGAGGTGTGCTCATGTGAGGTGATGACACAGTTTATCCATTCTCTGAGTGCAGTGGAGCTGCCCTCATGCAGCACCCAGCTCCTGTTCTAGGCTCTGGGTGCTGTGCAGCCTCCAGACACCCTGCAGTGTCCCAGTGTCCTGCTGGGGCTGCTGGATGTGTGGCTGGCTGCCTGCAGGAGGGGAGCAGGGCTGACAGGGTTGGAGCCCCTCCTGGGGGGCTCCAGCCTCACTGGGACGAGGGATGGTGTCTGATCACATGCTGCCATCAAATGGAAAAGTCCTGGCATCTCGACCACATCACTGGTTTGGATTTGCTGTATTAAATACGGATAAAAATTAGGGTAAACCTTGTGGTTTCTCACTGTTGGAAGTGGTCGCAGTTGCTGCAGACTCCAAGGTGCTCCTGCATTAGGGCACAAGTGTAAACTCTTGCTTCTCCTTCCTCCCTCAGGCCATAGAAACCCTGACAGGTGCCCTGTTCCAGCGGCCACCCCTCATTGCTGCTGTCAAGCGACAGCTGAGAGTCAGAACCATCTACGAGAGCAAGCTGGTGGAGTATGATCCTGAGAGAAGATTAGGTAAAACAGGGCTTTCCTGCCTTCTTCCTATAAAACCAACAGCTGATAAAATTTTCTATGAAATGGGCTGCTTTTGGCACATGTCTTACGACCTAAATCTATTGAAGATGGAGGGAGAGACCCAACTTCCTTGTTCAGCATCTGACTCCGTTTATTCACTCAATCCATCACTTTTTATAACCGTGTTAATTACGTTCATGCATATTGCAAACCCGAGCTCACAATAGGTCAGAGATAACACACCAACTCCTCCTTATGTTTCCAATACCAAGATTTGGGTTCTCAAAATTATTTTTGCTTTCCCAAAACAGCCAAATATAGACTATCTACTTGTTATGAGAAAGCTGCCTGAGAACTCTGGTATGCAAGGTTCTCAAGGTCTTCATGTTTGTCACTTTTACTTGTAATTAAAAACAACCTGAGAACCTCTGCTGTTTACAGAAACTGGCTGTGAGAATTTTACTCCTCACAGCTGTCTTCTAAGCCATTTCTAAAAAAATCTCCAACATAAATCCTCCCATTGTCCAGCAGTAACTGCTTCATGCATTGCTTTGGTGTGCTGGGAAGCAAATCCCACCTCTTTTTGTGCTGCTGCACCCTTCACAGAAGAGCCAAATGATGTCAATTAGATGGCATTAGCTCTCAGGGCAAAGATGACCTTCATCTATCACCCCATGCTGATGGCTCTGGGAAGGGTTGGGCATGCAGCTTCTCTTGTAGGATGTGGTTTATTTTCTGCTTAAATGTTGTGATGCACTGAGTCCTGGCTGGGTGGTAACAGGGGTGTGACAGGGCTCCACAGAATCCCAGCTACCAGTGGAGGAACAAAAAGGCAGCAGCACGGGCCCTGGGGTGGAACTGGGGTAACTTTATTCCATGGTAAAACCCTGAACTGAGGGCAGACAGGAACACAAGGCAGGGAATACAGTGTGTAACCCAATTGAGGATTTCAAGGCAGGAGAACAGCTTAAACAAACCAATGGGGTTTCAAAGGATATAAAACTGACAGGGAAGTTTCTAAAGGGAAGGGCAGGTTTGGGGAGGGATTGACATTTAATGGAAGGAGGAGTAAGGAGGGTTCTGGGGAAAAGAGCAGGGACAGGAGAGGGTGACAGCTGGGATGAGGGGGTTGAAACTTGGCAGGGAGTGGCCAGGTAGCAAACAGAAAAACTAGCACTTAACTGAATAGAATAACAATGAGGGAGCAATTCTAATTTTAGAAACATAAGATACAAAATGGGGGCTTGTGCCACTCTAAAGACAAGGGGAGGACAATACAGAGGGATTGCAAAACCACAGATTAAACAGTGAATATGCCAAATAAAGAAAACACACTATAACATCTAAATCTCTCTATCCTGTCCTGCCTTTCAGGTATCTTCTGGGTGAGCTGTGAAGCAGGCACGTACATCAGAACCCTCTGTGTGCACCTGGGGCTGCTGCTGGGCGTGGGGGGCCAGATGCAGGAGCTGCGCAGAGTCCGCTCGGGCATCCTGGGAGAGACGGTACAGTGGCACCTCAAATGTAGCCAGCCCCTTTGACATTGGCACAATTGCAGCAGCTCCTGGGGACTCTGGGAGCTCTGCAGTGTTAGGAGGAGGTTTGTGCATAGCCCCCCAAACAGTGAGAGCTCTTGCCAAGGATGGTCTGGAACCAAAGTGTTGAGTTCAGTTCAGGATGTTGCTCCTGTTCTGGTAATTAAACTTTGGGACACTGAGTGACTGGGAAGTGCACTGTGGTGGCTGAAGGTTTGTTTTATGTCACCTGTGTTTCTCAGCCTACAGACCCTGGTGTCCATGAGTTCAGGAGTGTGAACAGCTCAGAGAATGGGGTTCATTGGAATGAACTGGGAGGTGCAGTCTTGTGAGATCTTGGACACTTGTGCAGTCTTTTCACTCTGGTCACAGAGAGATCCTGTTGCTGGTCCAAACTCCAGAACTAATTTCTTTCTTTGCAAAGCAGCAGTATCAGAGTGCAGGTGCTTCCCCACCCATCTGTGCACTTAGCACTGTAATCACTGGGTCATTTCTGAATTCCAGGTGTTGGGTGCTCACAGTTTTCTCAGAATTTGTTCCATGCCACAGGTTAAAGAGCTGGTTAATTAAGAGTTTCATGTGGGCAAACCTTAGACTGTAGATCCAAGTGCTGTCTGAGATTAGGAAGGTCCAAGTCTGGCAGCTCAAGCCAGGCTGATCTCAAGCTGCTGATGGAAAGTATTTCCTCTCTTAAGTTGTGTTTTCATGCTTGTGGTGGGTGTGTGTTTTCACTGCCTATTTGCTCTTGGACTTCAGCTGTTCTCTTGTGCATGGTGGGAGAGTTTAGAAGGGTTTTGCCTTTGCAGGACAACATGGTGACCATGCATGATGTGCTGGATGCCCAGTGGCAGTACGACAACAACAAGGACGACAGCTACCTGAGGAGGGTCATCCTGCCCCTGGAGAAACTGCTGACCTCACACAAGAGGCTCGTCATGAAAGACAGTGCAGTGAGTTCCTGAGGCAGTGCCAGGGGACAGACAGACACTGCAAGGGGCCCCCCTGACTTGTGCAGCTGGTAGAACACACAGGGGATCAGCAGCCTTGTGTCTGGTGCTGTCCTCATGGTGACTTGTGTAGATCCTCATGTGGGGTGCTGCCAAAGCAGCACTAAGAGGCAGGAACCATGAATTAAATACGGAATCTGCTCTCCTCACTTGAGCAGGATGCTGATGGTTTTGAGAGATATGCCTCACCTGTTGTTTGCTGTGATGGGTGCTTTGCTTTCTCCTTCCAAAGCTCCCAAGTTTTATGTAGTGGACAAAATCCCTATTTACTTAGGGATGATATTGCTGGGATGGTAATGTCAGTGGGAAGCTAAAAATTAGAGACACTTCATACTTGGATTCTCATAATTGCTTCTAAGCCCTCCCATTTCCTACATTTTCAGGTTAATGCCATTTGCTATGGAGCCAAGATCATGCTGCCTGGTGTTCTGAGGTATGAGGATGGGATTGAGCTTAATCAGGAGATTGTTGTCATCACCACAAAAGGAGAAGCCATCTGCCTAGGTATGGAATGCCTTCTGCTCCTCGTGTCCAGCTAACTGCAGATATAACAGACTGTGTGAGAGTAAGGGCACCACATATTAGTTCCCATGTGCAGAAGGTTTAATTAGTGCTTCCTGATGGAGAATGTGGGCCCAAGGCAGCTGGCTTTGGGCAGGATGTTGAGAAGCAGTGGCTGCATCAGTCCTGGGCCAGGTGGGAGGGGTTCAGCAGCTGTGTGATGCTCAGGTGTGCTCATGTGAGGTGATGACACAGTTTATCCATTCTCTGAGTGCAGTGGAGCTGCCCTCGTGCAGCACCCAGCTCCTGTTCTAGGCTCTGGGTGCTGTGCAGCCTCCAGACACCCTGCAGTGTCCCAGTGTCCTGCTGGGGCTGCTGGATGTGTGGCTGGCTGCCTGCAGGAGGGCAGCAGGGCTGGCAGGGTTGGAGCCCCTTCTGGGGGGCTCCAGCCTCACTGGGACGAGGGATGGTGTCTGATCACATGCTGCCACCAGGCACAGCACACCTCCTGGTACATCAGTGCAAAGGGACTCCAGCAGTAACCAGGGTCTTCAGAGAAGTGTGTGACAGCCACTGAGTCCTTGGGGTGACACTGGTGGGGGTGTTGGTCATCTTGGTGCTGCCAGAGGCAGAACAGGCAGTCACAGTTGTGTTCTTTGGGAGTTACTGACCCCCATGCCTGCTTCTGCAGCCATTGCCCTGATGACCACAGCTGTCATTTCCACGTGTGACCACGGCGTGGTGGCAAAGATCAAGAGAGTGATCATGGAGAGAGACACCTACCCCAGGAAATGGGGGCTGGGCCCCAAGGTGAGTGTGGGCCTGGGGCCAGTTCCAGGGCACTGGTGGGAGCCCAGCCATTGGGATGTGGGGCTCTGGGACCCTTGGGCACAGCTGTGCCTTCTGCAGGGCCTTGCTGTAATTCTGCTGTGGTCTCCTGGAGCTGTGATGGTGGCAGTTCAGTGCCAGCTGTGGCAGCCCAGTGCTGGTGGGAGTGAGGCTTTCCCTCCCAAAAGAGCCTAGGGGCCACTGCTGGTGTTAAGGCATGGGCTCCTCAGCTCTGCACAGCACCAGCCCTCCTCTGGGGAAGAGCCACATGATGTGAAGTGGATGGCATTAGCACTCAGTGCAAAGATGACCTTCATCCATCACCCCTTGCTGATGGCTCTGGAGGGGCTGGGCAGGAGCTTCTTTTCTTTCTGGTGCAACACTGCTTAAATGCACACTGTCTGTGAGACACTAAACTGTGCCTGAAGGAGAGGAGCAGTGGGAACTCCCAGTGCTGGGTTCCTCTCCCACCTCAGGCATGTGGTAGTAGCTCAGCTGCAGCCAGGCTGGCCTGATGCAGGTTGGACTCAGCTCTGTGTCAAGTTGCTCATCCCATTCCTGTGGTTCAGGTGAAAGCTTTGGGGCTACTAACACATCTGTCTTATGGCAAAGGTGGGGTAATACAGGATGCTTCAAGCATTTTGGAGTCCTTTGTAAAACCCCACAAACAAGTGGTCCAGCTCAAATGCTGCAGGTCATTAGGCTGGAAGAACCCAGTGAAAGATCCAGACTCCATGATGTGCACTTGTGTTACTGTTGCTGTGACTCCCCCATCAAATTAGCCATTATCTACTGATAAAGATGCTTCTTGTCTGGGATTTAGGCTTCTGTGCAGGGGATGTTTTGTCTCATTTGTTTTAAGGTCCTTGGAACAGTGGTAAATAGAAAATGCTGTAGTTTTTGGCCTGTAGCTGGATTCTCTCCTCTTAGCTTGAGGGAGGATTTTCCCTGCCTGGAGCTGCAGTTTGACTTGTGGCACTTCGCTTTCAGGCCAGTCAGAAGAAGATGATGATCCAGAAGGGTCTGCTGGACAAGCATGGAAAGCCCAATGAGAGCACACCAGAGTCCTGGAAGATGGAATATGTGGATTACAGGTGGGTGCTGGGTGTGTGCCTCCCACAGGGCTGTTCAGAGGGGACCAAGGGCTGGGCTGGATGCTGCTATTTGTGCATGGATCATGTTAGACTTGGCCTGTGGGGTGCAGTTACATCTCTTGGAGTGCTCTTGGGCAGTGTTGGAAGGAAGCCCTGAGCAGACAGTTATCCCTTTTTAGCCTGCAGTGGTTTTAGAGGGAGTCAGTCTGCTAAATCAAAGGGGGGAGGCCGTGCTGTGCCCAGCCCAGCTGGCCCTGGTGCAGGCTGCAGGTCTCCCCTACACCAGCTTCCCCCAGCTCTGGGGTGGTTACAGAGCCTTGGGAGGGGACAGGGATTTGTACAGGCCAGAGCAGAACAAGGCAGGGACTGTCCTGGGCAACACTGGGATCTTTTCTTTCAGGGATGCTTCCAGGAAAGAAGCAGCTGCTGATCACCAGGCTGTTTCAGAGGTGGACAGGGCTGCAAAAGTGAGTATTGCCAGTACTCTCGGGCTCTTTTTTCATGCCTTGTTATTCCCATTATCTGTACACACCTTGCACCTGCATTTTGGTCCAGTGATGATTTTTAGTCCAGGCTTTTCCATGCCCTTTGTTAGGCACAAGGTCAGTGCCCATTCACAGTTCCTTGTCTGGGGCTCCAGCAATTTTCCACCACCCAGGGCATGATTTGCAGCTCAGACACCAAGCTACAGCCCTGGGCATATTCTTCAACACAGTACAAGAAAATATATTGTGTGAAGCCACAACAGAGATTTGTTGTGCCAGAGAAACTTTTTGGAGACTACAGAGAGCTGCAGAAATGTCCATGCAAGAGTTGCACCTAAAATTCCCTAACTCAGGATTTTGCATGCCCTTGGAAAGGAGCAGCAGTGTTTTAAACTAATATTTGAGATACAGGAAACACTGAAAAATACAGGGGGCAGTTCTGGCAGAAGCAAATCCTAGACAGTGTATGCTGCAGAGTCTGCAAGTCACCCTGTTGTTAAATGAAGTTGTTTTGAATCAGGCAGTCAGTTTTCCCCTCACCTGAGCTGTTGGAAGGTATTGGTGTGTCTGACAGTGTGTTCCTCTAACAGAGAAAGAGAGACTCCGAGAGTGAAAACGAGGAAGCTGTGACCCCTCCATCCCCTGCCACCCCACCACCAGAGGAGCTGAGCAAAAAGGAAAAGAAAAAAAGGAAGAAAGAGAAGAAAGCCCAAGAGGCAGCTGAGAGTGGGGGAGAACAAATTGAGAGGGTATGTAATGGGGTACTGCCATGGTCCCAGCATGGTAGAGATTGCTGTGTGTCCCTGATCACCTCCAGGATTAGTGCACCAGCAGCCTGCAGTGTGTGTCCATAGAGTGCCAGGCTTTCCACAGCAGAGGAGGATGGTTTAGAGCTGCATTTTAAACTGAATTGGTGGTTGGAGATAGGGCAGGTGGCCCAGGACAGTTGGGGGGTTCCTGCCAGGCCCCCTCTGTGCTCTGGTGCCCTGTGGGAGGATGGTGCTGGGGTGTGCCATGGGACTGCACTGCTTTGCTCTTTGTTCTTCCTGAAATGGGCAGTGGGGGATTCCTTTCTGATGGTGTCCTGACCTTCCCAACCTCTCCACAGACCAGTGAGAGCAGCAGCAAGAAGAAGAAGAAGAAGAAACACAAGGAGGTAGAAGAGAGCTCGGACTAAGCAGCTGGGTGTGTCCAAAGCAAGCAACCTCATCATTGTGAGGAGGAGGAGTTTTAGGCCTTGAGAAGAGAACTGGCTGTGTGGCAGAGGAACCAGCAAGTTCAGGTTCTTCTCTGCTGTTTATATGAGTGAGGGGGTGTTTGCCCTGCTCAGGTGCCCCTCTTCATCCTGTTTTAAGGGTTGCCAGAGGAGCAGGGTGCCTCACTGCCCCTGCACTGGATTGATCTCTAAAGCTGAGCACCATGATGCCAACAGAAGTGGTATCTTCAGGGAAACTGTAGCTTCTGGCTCTTCCTTGGTCTCTGTTTTCACCTTAGTGAGGGTGGAATAATCTGTCTCCCCCCTCATGTACTGCCTCTTTCTTCCTTTTCTCCCAAGGCTGAGGCTGTTACCTGACAGTTAAAGAATGTGTTGCTTCTTGGAGGAGTGGCTTTGTCACAGCCCATGTGCATGGGTTTCCATGGGGACAGATCAGTTATTTCTGAAGGACTGTGTTTTGTTTTAACCTGGCCACATGCTTGGCTTCACCTTCAGTTAAATGAGAACAAACAGTCCACTCAGATTGTTTTTCACTCCTTTTTTGACCTTTATCATGAAAGGATTAGAGAATTTAATTCCCCCTTTTTGCTTATAGCACAAGGCTGTGCTTGTTCATGGTGTGCTGATTGCCAGGCCCAGCAGCCTCAGTGACCTGGGCAGTGTGTCCCTTTGGCTGGCTCTTTGCTCTTCTCTACCCTTTGTTGGCCTGGAGGGTAGGAGGTGACCAGGAGGTGACCAACATGTTCTTCGTGCTGCTGGGGCTGGAGTCCTCCTGAGGAAAAGCTTGGTCAGAGGCAGCTCTGCCAAGGGGCATTCATTGGGTGTGGGCTTGAACGGTTTCAGATAAATCTGTTGTATTGCTAAGCTATCTGGAATTACTTGCTGGGGGCAGAAGGTCTCTCCTCTGTCACAGGGGGAATGCTGAGCCAGAATTGAGTTCCTTGTAATGAGGAAAAACCTCAGGCTGTTTTGTTCTGAGTTTGATCCCTGCAGAGATTCTGTTAACTGTTGGTTTAACCTTGTGCACTGCTTTAGTCTTAATGGTCTATGCTCCCCTCCAGTGCTGGAGATGCAGGCAGAGGGGACAGCAGCTGGTGGGTGTTACAACCTGAGCACGAAAAAAAGAAAAGGTCCATTTTTATTTACTCCTTTTTTACAAAAAAAAAAAAAAATAAAACTTCCAGTTTTGAACAGGTGATTTTCTTGCTCCTTTGGTTCCTCCCAAAAGGTCAGTGGCATTCATGGGGGAGATTTACCACGTACCCAGCCTCTGCTCCTCTCCTGAAGAAGTGCTGGAGCAGAGAAATGGTCATGTTGATGAGCCTTTGTCATTGCTTTGTCAGTGCCCAGCCTGAGAGGTAAAACACCAGCCATGGCAATGTTTCAGCACACATTTATTGCTGCTCATTGTTTCCCTGCAGTGGATCAGAACAAAGGTCCCTATTGCACATAGATTTTTATTTTTGGCATCCTTAAAAAAAAATTGCACAAGACTTTTTAACCACCTTCCCCTTGCCCCTATAGCTGACTGAACACACAAATGAGATTTTTCACCTACATGGATGTGGTGATACTTCCCAGACATGGTGGTGTGGGGCTTGTGAGTCAGTACAAACCCCAGGGTGAGCATGGCTTTTGTGTTTGCATACAGTGTGAGAGACACCCTAGACTGGAAAACATGCCTGGATGATCTTTGTAGACACTTTTCTACTGCATGCAACAGATAGTTGTGGCTGGATGTAATTTACCCATTGAAGAATCCCTCTGGGGTTTGGTCTGTGGGACTGGCTCAGCTGCTGCCCAGTTTCTCTGGCCAGGCAGGAACAATCCAAGCTGCACGGTGAGAATTCCAATACAGTGAGGTTTTACACCTATGGCTGCACAGGGTGAAAGAGAAAACTCCAGCCTGGGAACATGGGGTGAGGCCTGCCTGGGGGTGCTCATGCCACATTCATCATCTTCCCCATTTGTGAGAGGAACCCCTTGGGTGGAGGAGCTCTGGTCTGGGAGAAGCCTCCTTAGACTTTGACTTCCTTGAAGCCTCATGGCCTCCAGGAAGGGTTTTGAGTTGTGTGCATTCCTGCCATGTCAGGAGCAATCTGTCTGTTCTGCCACATCCCTTGGGACTGCTGCAGGGAGGATCAGCTGGGTGCCACAGCACGACTGTGCTTTCCCTTGCCCAGGGAGGGCAGGGAGCTGTGCTCTGAGCTATCCTGGGCTCTGCTGTAGCCACTGCCCTGCCCTGCAGTGCCACAAGAGGTGGCTCACCCCCGGGCAGCCTCTGCCCTGTGTTTGTTCCCCCAGGAGAGGAGCTGTGGGCGCCCTGTGAGAGTGTAACCGAGACCATGTCCGTGGAGCAGCAGAGGGGAGTTGTGCTGGGCTGTGTGGGCAGGGGAGGCTGAGGAGGTGTTTCCCAGTGGCTGCAGGATGGTTGATGGAAGGTGCCCTGTCAGTAGACCCAGGAGACAGGCACCCACTGTGGGGAGCTGCAGGCCTGCTCGAAGGCCTCCTGCAGCAGCTGCAGGCTCTCTTCCACGCCGTTGTTGACCAGGGACAGGTCGAAGTAGTGCGCGTAGCGGCTGCGGATGCTCTCCGAGTCCTTGCGGAGCTGCTGCAGCGCCTCCGACTGCAAGGGACAGCACAGTGCTCAGCAGGGACCTTCACAGCACACCCCACCAGCAAACACCCTCCCAACACCTCCCAAAACAGTTCCAGTGCTTGGAGCCTCTGACTGCAAGGGACAGCACAATGATCAGCACAGGAGCTCCACAGCACACCCAACCAGCAAACAGCCTCCCAACGCTTCCCAAAACAGCTCCAGTGCTTGGGAAGTACCAGCACAGAGAATACTTGGAGCTTGTCTGATGGGCCAGGAGCTGTTGTGTGGTCTCTGGGCTTGTGTCTGGGGCTTTTGCTGGGCTTTGGGTGGTGCTGGGAGCATCAGGTTAGCTGCTGGCTCTGTTTACCTCTGAAATGTTCTGTGGCAGGTCCCAGGGAGACGGCTGACAAGCAGCAGGCTGCTCAGTGCTCCGGTGGGCATTGTCACCAGCTCCAGGCTGGGCTGGAGGTGGGATCCCTGCAGGATGCTCCCTTCCCACAGGCTGGCCACAACAGCACCAGCTGGCAGAGCTCTACCTGCCTCTGCACTGCTTTTGGCTGGGGTTTTAGTGCTGCACTTCAATAGGAAAAGCAAAGCTGCCTCTTCCTCCTGCCCAGCTTGTAGGGACAGCCCAGGGGTGGATCCCTGGGCAGCTCTGCCCCGGGCACTGAGGTCCAGACCATTTCCATGTATTTCCCTAATGGAGCATGAAAGACAGGCAGCTTCTGTGCCTGGGGAGGAGGGACTGCTTGGGGTGCAGTGGTCACCGAGCTCTGCTCTGTGCAGATTTAAATAGATCTAAAAGGGTGCAGATCTAAAAGGGTACTATTAGATTATATTAATTATATCTATTAAATAATTAAATATATTATTAATAGATAAAATAGACATATTAATAGACCCAAAGCCGACCAATCTTTATGTCCTTCCCTTCTTTTTTGTTAGACCAGCTGGGTATATATCACAATACTGATACCTTTAGTGGTCAGCACTAATAACATTACAGATGGCACAGTAATATTTGTAATACCACACCCTCCCTCAGGGAACAGCAAGCTTCTGTCTTTAAGGTGTTCAACACTGACAAACTTTAAATACAATTATTTACCCTAGGGGCAAAAAAAAAAGAAGATACTGCTTAGCTACCTCCATCTTGAAAGAGTTACTGAAAATATTCATCTATTCTTACAAAATTAATTTTCCTATATTGTGGATGGAGCCAGCAGCTGTTGGGGGTGGAGAGGGGAGGGAGGGCAAGCAGCTGCCTTTGCTCATGTGAGCTCTGCGGGGTCACATTAACTCTGCCGCATCCCTCTCCTCAGTGAGCCGAGCTGCAGGGTTATATTTAGTGCCTGGCAGCAGGGCTGGCCCTGCCCACTGCAGCAGGATGTGAATCCTCTCTGGATGGGTGACAGAGTGGCCCTTTCTGTTCTGAGATCTGTCCCCTTTTCCCCTCCTCAGCCTGCTGCATCAAGCAGCTAATGTTCCTCTAAATACCTGCACAAATATACTATCAGTAGCCTGAGCTTTACAAACACAACAGGCTGGAAGAGATGGCGTTGTGGCCATTGAATCTAGGAGGAGCACAGCTCTGGGTTTTCTTGTTGGCCTCTCTTCTCTTCTCCCTGCCTGGCTGGGGTGTAGGGCAGGGTAAGCAGCATCCCTGCATCCAGGGGCTTCCTGGGAAGTGATATAGCCTGTGGCTGCTAGCCCGAGGCTTGGCACTGAATGAGTTAACTACGCTATCAGCGCTGCTTTCATCCTCACGTTAAAGGGATCAGCATCCTAATGAGGCAAAGAATGAAAGCAGCTCTTGTTTGTGTGTCTATTTGCATAGCTGATGGCAGGGTAAACGCTCCTGCCCCACTGTGCTGGGACTGTGCTGAGGGATGAATCTACAGCTGCGGGAATGGGCAGCTCAGGTCTGGGCTGACTTCTGGAGCACCAAAAGCCAAGCAACAGGAGAAAACTGCTGGGGAGCTCTGGGTTGCTGCAGCAGGTGCTGCCATGGCCCAAGAAGGCCACGCAGAGGGGGACAGGAGGGGACAGGTGGCACTCACGTCCTCTGCCCGGTCTGTCGGGGCAATGAACACGATGAACGGGGAGAGCTCGGCCGTGCGCACGATCTTGAGGGTCTGTGGAGAGAGGGGTGCAGTCACCACAGTGCGGCCCTCCTCAGGCTGGGACTGTGCTGCACTGGGGGCTAAAGGACACATGTCCCCTCTCTGGGGACATGAGCTCACTGGGTGGACTCCTGGAAAAGGGTCCCAGCACTCATTGTCACAGCCAGGTGAGTGCTGGGACAGGAACACCCTCACTGTACCCATGCCTTGGGAATGGAAATGCCAGCCAGCCCTTTTTCCTTTGGGAAGAGAGGGCAGGGACAGTGACAGCCAGCACCCAGGTAATGCAATCCGTGGCAGCCCCTGTCCACCCACCCCTTCCCCTGCTCCCTACCTGGGGCTCGATGTCCAAAATAGCGACTTTGTCCTGCTGGTGGATCTTGTGCACTGTTTCAAACTTGGTGCCAAACATGTTGCCCTGGTAGCTTCCAAACTCCAAGAACTCATTGGCTGAGATGTCCCGGGTCATCTCCTCGGTGGAGACAAAGTAATAGTCCTTCCCATCCACCTCATTCTTCTTCTGGGGGCGTGTGGTGTCTGGGGAGGGAGAGAGGGGGTGAATGAGGAGGGGAGGACAGAGTGGAGCAGGCATCAAGACTAGGCTGTACTAATCCCCTGCTAACTGGTTCCTGCTTTGGACCAGTCCCTCAGCCAGCTGGGGACAGGCACTGGATGAAAGAGTGAGGTGTTTGTGTGTGGGGGCAGCAGCCCTGCAGCCTCTGTGGGTAAAGGTGGCTCCATGTGGGGTTGCAGACAGGGAGGCCTTGCATGTGGGGGCCTGACTGCAGGGGCCTGGTTGTGCTGGAGGAACATCTCCCCACCTCCCACCTGCTGTCAGAAGGTCCTGGGTCAAGGAGGTGAGAGGAAATGCATCCTGTGCTGGTACTTACATGGGGGTGGGTACATGAACTTGTCTGGGTTGTTGCTGAGCAGAGCATTCTTGATGTGACTACGGCCCACACCACTGGCCCCTGGAAAGAGAGAGAGAGAAAGGTGAACACTGGAGCTGGGCTCAGAGCAGCCTGGTGGGAAATGCTGGGGCCCCTCCACAGCTCTGGGTCTGACAAAAGTGCAGAGCTTGGCCTGGGCCCTGCCCAAGATGTGCTTTCTGGGCTGGTCTGTGGTGACTTCCAGCCCTGGAGGAGGCTCTTTGTGCCCTGGGGATGCTCATCTCCAGCCCCAGCTGGAGACAGGACTGCTGTCTGCACAGCAACCAGCCTGGCTGGACTGGCCCATGCCCATGGAATCCACCATGAAGTGCTCAGTCCCCACAGAGTGGGAGTGCTTGCTTTAATGCAACTGCAGAGCTGCTTTTAATAGAGATTTTCCATCAAGATAGTCAGGAGCTGCAAATGCCTGAATTAACTCTTCCCCAGCACTGCAGCAGATGCCAGACCATGCATGCTGCATGGAGGGGGTCAGCCTATGCATGGGATGCTGCAGGCTGAAGAAATGCTCCCCAGACCTTACTAGGTC